ATATATATATATATATATATATATATATAGAAGGCACGCCCATTTATAAGATTCACTCTGCATCATCTTCCACGGCTCCTACAGACGAAAAGAATTCTTTGTCTGGCAAATACCATCCCATAACAGGGTATTTCGACTCAAACCTCTTTACCCATTCCTCTAGCTGTGCAATCTCCTCATCCTTGCATCCGGGAACCCAGTGTTTGTCCGCTTCCTTTCCCGTCAAATCCGCCTTTGCAAGACATCGAGAAATCTCGCGCCCCGCGTAGATATGGTACGGCTTACCTGGCCCGTAGAACTGTGGGGCCACCTCGTACACCACGCGCTTTACACTGACGTAAATATCACTCTTTCGTACTCCATCGTATTCTTGGAGCTCATTTCGTGTGAAGCCACGACCTTCAATCTTTTCGACGGGGCGGATTGGGCACTTCTTCTGCTTACCATGATATCCACCGCAATTCGCCTTGTCGCTTCCGTCCACCTTGTTGGATCGCCGAAGCCACGCCCGAACAAGAAAGCCGACAGCAGTCGCTACGGCAATAGCGCCGGCCACCTTCATCGTTATCTCGCTGGTTCGCTGCATGTGATAAGAACCTTGGAGAAAAAAAAAATATATTGTCACAACTTCTTTTCCTGCGGCACCCCCAAGGACAAAAAAATAAAGAAAAAGTATAACTTTGAGGAAAAGAGACAGCTTCAAGGGGAAGACAGAGCGCCACAACGAAAGTGGAAAGGGGGGTGATAACATCCTACCCCTCTCAAAGACACAAATACCTTTCCCGCATGAGCTGTGGCGAGCTCCCTTGACGCCAGAGAGAGACAAACTACCAGAGTCATGACCGTAGTTAAGGGGGCACTGCTGCTGTACATGGTGTGCCACGACCATCCTCATGCCCTCCGCTGGACAGGGAGTGAAGGAAGGAGGGAGGGGGAATGAAGGTCACCGAGTCCCTTTCACTCCCTCGTTGCCCATGGGCGGGGGAAAAAAAAGGGGTGTCTAGTAACGCCTCGAGGAACACAGAGCTGGTTGAGGATCCCACACTTCAAATTGCTCTACATAGACAAATTCAGCCTTTAGTACACCGGCTGCCAGTTGGGATTCTCAACCTCCTTGAGGTTTAACGGAACCGTCCCACTCTTGTTGTGCAAGAATTTGGCATGTGCTGCGTCCTGAACGCGCACCTGCGAGGTAAAAGCATTCTGGAACACATGGATGGCGCGGCCTTTGATACAATCCAAGGCGTAATAGTCACAATCTGTGATTTTGTTCTTCACTAACTCCACCCCATGTACATTCTCCAAGATGACACCTGTGCCGAAAATATTGTCTATCTTACACCCCTTCACCACCATCGCGGGGGCTTCAGCGGTTGCACCTGGAATTGATCCACGCAGGAGGATACCAGTGCCCAATCCTGTAAACTGGCAACCCTCCAGAGTCACCTTGCAGCTGTCCGTGTGGAGTCCCACAGCCTTTGGCCGCACTTCACGAGGGGAGGCTGCAAGCACTTCTTCCCCAGAGTCGTTTTGTGGGAAGCCGGTGAAGATACACCTCTGAAACGTCAATTGCCCCCTTGGCCAACCGTACACACTGGCCTTTATAGGGCACTCAAAGGCACACCTCAGACACTCGACTTGACAGTACTGCGCCACGAGGAGTTGCGTTATTTCTGGTGCACTTGCAACGAAACAGCAGTTCTGGAATCTCACATGAGAGTGAGATACTATCACTTGCCCCGCAAAAGTCATATTCGCGAATGTCACGTGAGGCCAGCGATCAGGGTGAGCGAATTGCATGCGGCGCTCCTCCTCCTCTCGTGCCGCAGCGACAGCTGCCTCAACTTTTTCTTCATATAATTTCGCTTCCGCTTCCAGTCGTTCTTGCTCCTCCTGGAGTGCCTTGGCATTTTTCTTAGCTTTGGACTTTTTCCGCTTCTGCGGGACAACCGGCGGATCTGGTAATTCCGGCTTCACCACAATACGTGTCAGAATGCCGTCAATGTGCAGCGCCCCTTGTACAACCACATCACGCGCAGCCTGAGAGGCACCGACGTCCACTTCTACTGGAGAAGAGGCCCCATCCGCGTTTTCTGGTTCTTTGGCAGCTTCTTCCTGAACCGACTCATTATCCATGGCTGCGTTAGTATGTTCCGCCATCTGTTCCACACTCTTCATAGAGGACCAGGGTATACTTTCAATGTGCATGTTATCGGCAACTTGCACAGAGTAACGCATCCCCGCGTCGCCAAGGACACAGGCAGGAATAAGGACATTCGTGCGGGGTAAAGTTCCCACCTCCCCATCGGCCGC